ATTCCTAAGTCCGTGAAAATCAAAGCAGTATCTAAACTTACCTCATATCACATTCAACCACGATAAATTCACACAGAACTTTTCAAATAGACGCGTATACGCGGTTATCTAAACTGTGTCCGAACTAGCCACTGGGTGATAAAAGATCTGAAATAGAATTCAACTAATTTGACATTCTGAAAAATTACACTTTCGATTTAATCATTTAATTAATTGACATCACTTTTTTTAAAAATTTTATTCGCCTATTTATTAATAACAAATTTTCATCATTATATATACATGTTTATATTTAGGGCTATAGGGGCCTACTTAGTTAAACCATACATAGATCTATTACATTACAGCTAAGGATAAAGCTATTACATTAATTACAGCTATTACAAATAAAAGTAAGTGCGTGACAGTGCTTCAAGTGAAGTGCGTTATAATAAAGTTTTTTTGGCATAATATTGAGAGCAAATAGTATGATGCTAATATTTATTAATATTCATTTTACATGTAGATTATCCCCGAGCGGGCGCGGAGCGCCTGCGAGGGTACTAATTCCGCTCGGAGATTAGGAATTACACCCGGAAGCCGGTAGAACATATATATGAATCCAAAGTTGTCTAAATTCTGTGTCATGGACGGTCGACGTTGGGTGGTTTTGTAAGTTATGCACATGGGCGAGTAATCAACGAACGTTCTGATTGGCTGAGACAGAAAGTTTGTATTTCAATGAGAACGTCAGCAATTTAATTGTCATTTCGTAAACATTTTTGTAAAAGCGTTTCATAAACTTTGTGCAAAGAAAGTAAAAGGAGAAGAAACAAGATACAGTGTATGAAGCATGGCAGATAGCAAAGATGAACATGGATAAAGTCAAGACAAAGCCGTGTAAGAGGAATAATTCATAATCTGCAAGCTTATAAATGTTTTCAAAGACAAAGGTACGTGTTTACTTTGTTTATTTCGTATTTGTTTCGCGGTAAGAATGTGCCGTATTTGTATACTTTTCAGCTTTGTATGCCGTTTATTTGTTAAATTTTCAGCTTTTTATGCAAACGCATAAACCTGTGAAAGGCTATTACACCTTTGCTTTAACTTCAAAAAGTGTTTTTGAAAGTGTAATTTGAATTTTGGTATCAAAAATACACACTATATTTATAAAGTATGAAACTTTTAGCCGCCGGCGTCGACTGCAATTACAGAATAAAATAACATTTGAAATTTTTTCTTTGTCTGTGAAGATTTTGTACTGTTTTAATCGTTTGAAACTTTGATTTTAAACCGTTACTTAATTGCTGGCAAGGTATAATGCCGCAAAATTAAACGGGCAATGTTTACACTAGCTTTATGATTAATTTTGTATTGAATGATGGAAACATTTGCTAATATTATATCTCAACTGTAAATCACCCAATCAGAAAGCTCGATTTGTACCACGTGATTAGTAAATTAATCATGGAGTTCCATCGAATGTTTTCACATTATGCTATAAAAGTCGAATACCCCGCTGCAGCGGGCGAAGCCCTCGGGATATAATTTTATCTTCCCTTGGGGGTAATATTTCGTCGAATTCCCCTCGCTCCAGGTCTATAAATGATAATAATATACTCCGTAAAATATAACTAGAAATACATGCATGCAGCAACCCCTCGCTATTTCAACCAAGTACACAATTTCCTGAGCTAACCTGACCTAAACTTTGTGAAATGACATTATTAATGACATTATATTATTAAATGACACAAAAACTCAATTCAGTCTTATTATATTTTAACGAGTATTTTCAATACAAAAATAATCATAAAGCTAGTGTAAACATTACCTGTCCAACTTTGCTGCATTATACCATGGGCATGGCACAGTGATGGCAGCAATTAAGTAATGGTTTGAAATCGAAGTTTCGAAGATTAAAACAGGACAAAATCTTCAGAGACAAATAAAAAATCCGGCTCAAATGTTATTTTATTCTGTAATGCAGTCGACAGCTAAAAGTTTTATATACTTTAATATAGTGTGTATTTGTGATATCAAAATTCAAATTACACTTTCAAAAACACTTTTTGACGTTAAAGCAAAGGTGTAATAGCCTTTCACAGGTTTATGCGTTTGTACAAAAAGCCGAAAATTATACAAAGCTGAAAATTAAAAAATTAAACGGCATACATGATATATGCAAAGCTGAAAATTATACAAATACAGCTCATCGTTAACGCGAAACAAATACGAAATAAAATAATAAAGTATGCAAGTACCCTTTGAAAACATTTATAAGCTTGCATTATTCCTCTTACACGGCTTTGTCTTAACTGTATCCACGTTCATCTTTGCTATCTGTCATGCTTCATGTATCTTGTTTGTTCTCGTTATATTTTTCCCAAAATTTTTGAAACGTTTTTACAAAAAGGTTTACAAAATGACAGTTAAATTGCTGACGTTCTCATTGAAATTCAAACTTTCTGTCTTAGCCAATCGAAACGTTTGTTGATTACCAGTCGTTACTCGCGCATGCGTATAACTTGCAAAACCACCCAACGTCGACCGTCCATGACATAGAATTTGGACAACTTTGGATTCCGCTATGTTCTCCCGGGTTCCGGGTGTAATTCCTAATCTCCCAACGGAATTAGTACCCACGCATCCACTCCGCGCCCGCTCGGAAATAAGACTGATTTAAGTTTTGTGTCATTTCATAATATAAGTTTAGGTCAGGTTAACTCAGGAAATTGTGTACTTGGTTTGAAATAGCGAGGGTTGCTGCATGCATGTATTTCTAGTAGATGGTAATGATAGTGTTTTTCATTGGTAAAAAACTTTTCAGATATTTGTATTTAATTTTTTTTGAAAGTATATAATATTATATAGTAAGATACAATATTTTTAAAATTTGGGTCAAGATTATTCCAGATATCAACTCCCTCGCTAGCGAGTGAATGTTTAACATAGTTTGTTCTTTGATAAGACTTATGACGTTTCATAGAATTTCTCGTGTTTATGAATTTCCCTATTTGAGGTATAGTAGTTTGCAAAAAATCTGAGTAAGTTCTTTAAGTGATGATGCCTGAACATAAACAAACTGGTAAGATAATCATTAGGTTTGTTTAAGTTCAATATATTCATGCAGGTGCTGAAATGTATTTTCAGTATGATCCAAGTGAGTGCTAAATGTCATTAAACGTAACGTACAGTCTTCTTTTGAATATTTACAAGTTTTTGAGTTCGGTTTTTGTATGTATTTCCCCAAAGCAATTAAGTTACCATATATTCGATATGGATAAACCAATGCATGGTGGATTAATTTTATGGTATTTTGGTTTGTATAATGGCGCAGTTTTGTTATTATTCCTCATGACTTTATATATTTTTTTATTATTGTATCTATATTATCCTTCCAGGTTAAACACTCATCAATGACGAAACATAAAAATGTAGTGCTTCTGACTTGTGAAATAGTTTGATTATCAATGGAGATGTTTAATTCATGTTTTTTTTATTTGGATGCATGCATATCACAAATTTCGTTAATCATTCAATATTTACCTCTTTAAATATAGGTACAGTGAGAATAAGCGAAAAAATTAATTTATATTTATAGCGTTCGAGGTATTATTTATTAGAAGTATAGACGCATGCATGTAGCTAGTACATATTTTGTGATCATGTTTAGGTATAAGAACTATAGCTCTGACATATAATGGTAACTGAAATAAAGTAAGCCTGTCGCCAGGCAAGAAGAAACCACGTGATTGATTTTGACCAATCGCGTGAGTAGATTTAGGCCAATGCACGAAGATTGTATATTAATTAAGGATTAAGGTGGTCTATACAAAAAAAAATTATTTTATTCTGAAGAATATAAAAATCTTTTCATGCCATATTGCAAGCCAAGTTACTCTGAGTGAAAAAAGACTTGTAGGAATCTTCAATCACCATAGTTACCCAGACCAGACACACCAAGTGATGGAAAATAGACGATTTACACGAAACTAGGTTTTAACTCTAGATCGATCTTAGACTGAATTAACGGAATACAAAACTTTTAGTTCACCTCCGTGCCACATGTCTTTAAAGTCAACCATGAAAATTAAATTAATCAAGCTGTATTACTTTTTGAATTGTAAGGGGAATGAAAATGTTGCACGAAACTAAGGGGAATCAAAATTTTAGCTTGCCAGGAAAAGCGACGAAAAAAGTTTTACATATATTCATAAATTATAGAGAACAATACAATAGAACAATGAAACGATAGAATAAGCCAATGGATCCCTTTTGTTTCCTCGGGGTGAAACCCTAACTAATTAACAAACTTTTCGTTTAACTCTCGCCTTCTTTATATATTTTTTGGGAAAAAATATTCAGGATCGAATGGTGAGACATTTAAGTTTGCATCCCTTGAAATTTTAAAAACAGATTAAATCACGATTTTTTTATAAGACCACCTTAGAGCACTCTGTGAGTGCGTTATCGGGCTTTACATGCAAGATTTACAGTACTGCCGTGGTGTTGTTGCTAAATAAATTTCCCCCACGTGGTACAAATCCACCAATCAGAACGTAAGTTTACAAAAAATGTATATTAAATATATTTATTGAGGGCTCAAACATTAAGAATCTCTCCCGTCATAACGAAAAAATATCACCTGTTTGGATAGTAACCCGGTATCATGTTAACGGTGTCCACAGGATGATTTTTTACTATGTTACTTTATGTGACTATATAGGCTATTATTCTAAATACGATAGAATCTTCTAAGTAATGTTATAATCACAGCTATCATATTAGCATAATAAAAGGTTAAAAACTATCTATAATATTTATTGTTTTTCAAAGAAACCTCCCGGGAGTGAATCGTCTCGCTATAGCCTATAATCATAATATTCATCAATTAATGTTTTGAAATACGTTACTGAGCCTGAGGGGCTGTTTACGTGTGTCCGGTTAGCGAAGCAAAGGATGATTTTGAGGTATTGGAATAAGTCTTTATTAAATCAAACAAGCGCAATCTATTGTCAAGTGATCATGTGATAATGTATACTTATTTCAATACCTCAAAATCATCACTTGCTTCTTTGAATCCCGGTTAACCGAGCTTAGAATGATAGTAAACAATCACAAATTTGTTAATTTGCATGCATAATTCCGTTTACAATTAAAAAAATCAACACACTGTATGTTCTTGGCATGTTTATATCCCTGCTAAAGCTCGTCCTTTTCCTTAGAACTGGTTTGGACGAATTTTCATCTCTGTCTTTTTCAAAGAATATCTGTGCCACCTGTACCAGTTTATTCCCCTGCCATCACTCTGACCTGCAGCCTGGTACAGGCCATTGAGGTGGCAATCTTTACACGTCCTGTACCACCAACCCGCATTCCATCTCATAGCACAATTAATACTATGTACATCATTGTCACTATCCTTGGTCGAGAACTGCATTTGATTGTGATAATCAAGAGAATCACCTGCGGTACCTTCTAAGAAATACAATAAAACTCCTCAATGGAAAAATTCAAACCAAAAGGTAATATTATTTTTTTAAATTTTGCATGATGAAATGAAAAGTAGGGTAGTAGCGGTGAAGACATTGCCGTTAAATCGCATCGACGTAGGTTCAATTCGACGAGGCAAACCAAAATTGCCTGCCTTTCCTGCAATTTTACCAGTTTGGTTTACTCGATCTCTAAACGGCGAATCTACACGGTATCGATTGCGTTCATCTTGAAAGTCTGTAATTTTATCAACAGCTCGGTCAATTGCTGTTTTTAATTGTCAAAGCGTTTTGTGAAATTGCTAGACATATTCATATGAAATAGGGAATCTTTTTAAGCCATTCTTAGTTATCCTTCGTTTCATTAACAAATATAAAGTTCAAATCAAACTTTAACAAATCGTAATGACAAAATGTGTAATAGTCTCGCATTGTGCCCCAGAAGTACCACAGAGACTTATTGATCTTATTGTATAGAATGCAAGATAATTAATTTTTACCTCCTCGTTTTTTGCTCACGAAAATAATTAAAACGAAATATTAAAAATAATCAAAATGCATAAAAATTAATATGGTCAATGCAAAAACTAGTGGTGGTGTTATTAGCTGTGAAAACCAGCGTACAACCATGAAATATGATGTTTAAAATCTTCCTATGCGTTATGTAAACTGCGTGATTTATAGTTCTTACATGACTTCATATAAACAAATATTTTTGTTGAATTTAGCGAGATTTGAGCAATGGCTGCGCACCTAGGTGCTAATATGTACAATAAGTCAAAAAGTCAAAATCTATCTAAGGGTTTGATTTACCTGTATAACTGCCAATATTCAATCTGTATTTGTCTGATTCATCAGCCACACTAAACGTTCCATATTTAGCGTAACGTTTAGCACCATTGAAATCCATTAAATCAACCCTTAAAACAGTTTGGCCAGACTTGGACAAACGATGTATTTTATCAAGGCCCAACCAGAACTCGCCTTTAAGATCACCAAAACCTGCTTTATAGTCTGACCATCCAAGGAAGAAATCTTGACTTCCATCTTGTCTTCTTTGGAACACAGTCCACCCACCCCCGTCTGACTTCATATCACAATAGACTGGGAACGATCCCAAACCATCAGGATTGATCGTATAAACACCGTCTTGTCTCATTCCGCATTTATAATAATGGGCGCAACAGACGTTTGGAATACAAGCTTCTAGGGAATCTGAAAAAGGTACTTTGTGATCCTCGTGTAGATATTTAATTATTATAACCTACATACTATGATTATAAAACCTTTAATTTGGAGATTCCGAGTTAGGTTATCCAAACGAGCCGTAAGTTTCGCAAAGGCGGAGTTAAGCTATAAACGACAAAAAGCCAATGTTATTGATTTGTATAACTGCAAAGGTGATTTTTATTTTTTTATCAAAGTGAAGGCAATTTTGAGAAGACACAGTACCCTATAACCCTAAAAGCACGAAAGAAGCGGCAAGCCTTTTCCTCTTGTAATGGATATATATAGGTGATAGCAATTAACGTCCATTATGCCTGCCAAATTACGCTTGCTAATTAATAATTGACGCTTGCTAATTAATAATTTCCGCTTGCTACTTGTGTCATTTATAAGCTTTTAAAAAAGGGTGAATATAAATTTAAAGGTTTCAAAACGTTTTCGATCATGACATTGTTACTGCCTGCGTCTGCGTGCATAACTATTAAATGCATTGCGATTAAAACATTGAAATATTTTGCTTGCTTTTTGCTTTAAACTAGTAAATAGTTTATTTTAAAACAGGTCTAAGATTAACTATGGGTTTAAGATTACAAGGATTTAGATCATGGTTTAAAATATGACCATGAATGATTAGGTCCAGTTTGTGTATAGGAATGGCAAAAATATAGAGATTGCTCCCAAATAGTATAACTACCTTTTTCTCTTCTGCAATTGCATTCCATCTTTCATTTGATCGTACATAAAGTTTTTGATTGTCCTTTCGAAATTCCAATATTCCTGAGATTCCTGGAATTTTACTAACACTGCTATTATCAGGAACAACTATTATCTGAGAAAAAAATGGAAAAATAGAAAACGAAAAAACGTATCTTATGCAAAATACTTTGACATAGTTGATAGCAATGATTTAGAACGAAGTTGGAATGGATCAAGACGTGGGGTTTTTACTATGATATTCTTACTTACACCATCATTTAAAAGTGGCTCGTTCGTAGAACAACGACCCTGTGGGGAAGAAAAGTATAATTTAAAGGATCACAATTAAGCATGTTCTAAAAGGTTATATATATATATATATATATAATTATATATATATATATATATAACCTTTGTGCACTCTTGATTTGCTATAACAACCTTTCTAAATTTTGATATATATATATATATATATATATATGTATATATATATATATATATATATATATATATTATATATATATATTATATATAATATATATAATTTATATCGTCTAATAACAATTAGCATACAAATAGATTATTTTGAACATGTAAGTACACGGATAGAGTTCATGTTTGTATGTGTAAGAACTGACAGGTGCCTGGTTTATTGGGTTCCCAAGAAAGTCGTCGGTTTTGAAAGAGAATAAATGACCGGACTTACTCTCTTAGGGACAACGTTTTGACCAACCAACTTGTACCAGACCTCGTCTCCGTTAGCTTCAGAAACTTTATAATCCATACATTTGTTCCAAACTTTCTTTGGAGAAGATGATCTCACCCAGAACCATGAATAAACATTTTTTATCAAAGTTGCGCCAGGTTTCGCCTTACAATCGGTGCCACAGAGATCTTCTGTGCTATCTGGTGGACTAAAACAGCTGCAGCACTAAAATATTGTTATATGTTAGCAAAGGGCACAGGCCTGTCTTCGCTTGCATGCACCTGTTGGCTCCGGCTCAACGGTTTAAAAACTTATGCTAAATATGTGGTTGATCAAGGAAGTTTTACACAGTCTGGAACAGTGAAACCACAATAGTTCCATTGACCTACCACTCCTTTGTCGCAACCGATAAATGCAGTTGAATTATGACTGATTCCAGATATCTTGCTAACCACACTGTAACTGGTAATGAAAAAACACAAATGTACTGATGTGATACGATATGATACGATACGAAACGATACGATACGATACGATACGACACGACACGACACGACACGACAGGAAACGACACGACACGACACGATAAGACACGATAAGAGACGATAAGAGACGATAAGAGACGATAAGATAAGATAAGATAAGATAAGATAAGATAAGATGAGATGAGATAAGATAAGATAAGATGAGATGAGATGAGATGAGATGAGATGAGATGAGATGAGATGAGATGAGATGAGATGAGATGAGATGAGATGAGATGCTATTTGTATATGGCATCTTGTTATACCTGAAAGATCCTGACGAGTCAGTTCGTATGGGATATATGGGATGATAAGCAAAGCCTTTGGGACACTGTTTTTCAAAGCATTCGTTCATCATTGCCTTGAAATGGATGGAAAATGTTTTTAGCATATTTTAAAGACTAAACAGCGTTTAGCACTCGTTTTTTTCAACAATAAAGCATTTTATTGCTTTTAGTGGTAAAAACTTTACTCTTAAAAACTTTAATCTTATAAAAACATTTTAATGTTTATTGTGAAAATCATGTTTATAAAATTAATGATGCGTCCAACAATCATGAAACTGTAAACAGAACAGTTAAAAGCAAGAACTTACCCATCCAGATTTAAGAATAAAATGGCGATATATTCCAAACTGTGAGCAACGGAATTTTGTTGCAACAATTTTCTCAGTCCGAAGATCTTTGACATAAGCGATGTCACCAATGCCTGGTGATGTTGGTCCACAACCTCTCTGATTAACAATCATGATATTTTTAAGAGGACGAATATTTTGCAGTCTGTAGGACCTTCAAAGATAAGAAAACATTTTAAAGGCCCACACAGACCGGACGCGATTTGGCAACGCGGTGCGATTTTTCAAAGTTTTTCATTTTTCCAAAGCAAATAAATTTTGAACTATCATTATATTCTTGTAGATTACCTAACAATAATATATTTTGACTGCTCTGGCGTCCATATATAGATTCTAATTTTTGCTTCCAGAAATTAATTTATGTGCTCCTAAAAACTGAAAATTCGCATCGCGTTGCCGCACCGCGTCTGGTCTGTGTGGGCCTTAAGGAAGAATAAATTTTACCATGCGAAGAAAATATGAGAAACTGTTCGTAGATTAATATTTGATTCGGGAGTATTTGAATGCATAGATGTTGAGCTACAGGAATATTAACTCAGGCGATGGGCCAAGCTGGGCTTAGCCAGATTTTTCATGAAGGTGATTTCTTGATCAACTGAATTTTGATATTTGATCGTAAATTTTCAGCAGACAATAAATTTTAATTCGTATTACCAGTGAGCATTTGTCTTAGCCAAGTTTTCCGTTGTCGATATTTGTATTCTGAAATCAAGAACTGGAGCGTCACCAAGATCACTGGACCACTGAGATTCACCAAATGGATCAACTGTTGTGTTTTTAGATGGAACTTTCCATGTTACAGAACTGTTGAGTTTACCAATCAACGCAAATCCCCCTCCATCTGTTGTCATGTCACAATAAACCTGCGGTAAAAATAAGCAATTAAGAATGGGCAGAAAATAGCACTGCTTGATCTAGGGCGTAACTGCAACGATAATTCAGGGGGGGGGGATATTTATATATTCAATTCTGCCCGTCGGACTTCTAATGTAAACTATTCCACTTACAAAAGAAATGCATCGGCTAGAACCAGCTGAATATATCAAAACTCCGGGATCGAATTATAAAAAGGACCAATAATAAATTTACCAACCCTCTTGGGGGCACCTCGATTCAAATTTATCCAATAAAATCCATCTCGAGACTCAAAATTCTTATTCAGAATATCGGTGCAGTCGTAGCCGGGGTTGAAAAATTCGCCAGAGGGACTGGAACCTACAATCGTCCACAAAATATATTGAGACTTTTCAAATTATGCCCCCCTTCCCCCTATTTCAATGTTGTGGGACATGTACTAACGCTAACGAAGTGTGAATTTGCCCTAAAATGACGCGGGCATGTGTAGCCATTGATTCCCAATACGTTACTTTAAGGTTGAACAGGTTATATTAGAAACAACATTGAAATAGGGGGAGGGGTTGTTTTTGTCTCAGATATTATGTGGACGATTGTCTGAATTTGGATGATATTTGAGCAGAGGTTTTTTATGATTAAAGACGAATATTTTACGGAACAGGACTTATGTTAATCGATAGCTTTTGATTAATGTATATTGACTACAATTTGCTTAGCTTTACGATCGAGCGCCTTTGCAAGTTTTATTCCCTACTTCAGGCTAAGAAATAATAAGAAATGTTATGTACACGACTTACTTTCGCCACTCCCTGTCTTTTCACATCCTTTCTCGGCATTATTTGCAGTAAGATATTCGCAATTTATAGCATGTAAATTTTTGTTATTGTCGCATTTAAAGCATAGTTCTAGAACCGGAAGTGGCAGTTCGTAAAACAATCAGCCGCATTTATTCATGGGGTACCTGTTTTAACGTTAGCACGAAATTCAAATTTTAACGATATTTCTGTGAGTAAAAGGTAAATTAGAAATGGATGATTTTCAATCAAATCAACTTATTAATCCCCGCTGTGGTCGTCGTACATATCTTGTGACTTATTCTCAAGCTGATCTGTGCAAATTTCCTACCCGCCAGAGTTTCGGTCAGATGATTGCGGAACATTTTAACACCGGTCGGGGAAAGGCAAAAGTAACTCACTGGGCCTGTTGTCTTGAGAGTCATGAAGACGGCGGGCTACACTACCATGTATCTTTGAAGCTGACTGCTCCGAAGAAGTGGTTAAAGGTTAAGAACGCCATAACCAAAAAGCATAACGTAACCCTTAATTTCTCGGCCAACCACGACTACTATATTGCTGCGTACAAGTACGTGTGTAAAGCGGATGATAACGTTTTCCACAGCGATGGTCATCCTGATTTGAGCGACGTTGGATCCCCCAAAACGAAGAGTTCAACGAAAGCATATAGAGAGTCCAGAAAAAGAGCTCGTGATTCAGAAGCGAACGAGACTGCTAACACAGCACATCAGAAGAAACCAAAGAAGTTGTCGAATTTGGATGTTTCCGATTACATGGTTAAGAAGAACATAAAGAGAGACACGGAACTTTTCGCTGCGGCTAAGAAAAGAAAGGACGAGGGTCAGGCAGATTTAGCTAATTTCGTGCTCACTAAGTCGTCGAAGGTTCTAAGCGAACTAATTGAGAAAACGTGGAAAATGGAAACGGCTAGCGTTACTCTGGATCGCGAGAATAAATCTAGAATGGATATCCTTCGAGAGAAAGCTGCTGATGATTGTGCCCCAGGTTGTGACAAGACGTGGTTAGAATGCGCTATAGAAACGCTACGAAATAACAAGCTACATCCCTTCGTCTATGCAGCTGCGATACGCGATCTCCTCTCTAACGGACGGGGAAAATTCAGAAATCTCATGATTATTGGTCCGGCAGACTGTGGGAAAACGTTCTTATTTAAGCCATTACCTCTCATCTATAATGCATTTTGCAATCCTGCCAACGACAAGTATGCATGGGTGGGGGCTGATTCAGCCGAAGTCATACTCTTGCAGGATTTTCGATGGCGTTCTGAAATGATACCGTGGAATGATTTATTGTTGTTGTTGGAGGGAGAGATTGTGAAGTTACCAGCACCCAAGAACCAGTTCGCCGCCGATGTCACCATAGAGAAAGACACGCCAATCTTCGCAACAAGCAAGAATCGAGTTACCTACTCAGGAAAATTCAACTCGACAGATTCGCGTGAGGACGAAATGATGGCCGTCCGATGGAAAATAATAGAGTTCACTCACCAAATCCCAGAACAAGTGCAAATACGTATCCGTCCGTGTGCTCGATGCTTCGCTGAGTTAGCCTTGTTGGGTGATGAGATTTGAACTTTTCAAATTGCAAAAAAACCTACATTTTATATTATTGCGTTCCTAACCCTAAATGTATTATATTTATAAAAGCACACGTATTTAAATAAAGCCATGATAAACGCGTAACCGCACGCGTTACCACAAGTGTTACCATTTTGGTATATAGCCCATTACTACGGACAACGCGTTACCACGCGTTACCGATTTTTTTATTAGAAACATATACACTAAATTTATAATAAAAAAAATGGTAACGCGTTGCAAGCTATGTTAAATATAATAAACAAGGCCACTGATGCAGTATTTCGTTTGGTAACGCGTTAGGTAACCCGTTGGTTACGTGTGTAAAAATGGTAACGCGTTGACTTATACTCCTTAACTTAAGATTTTCTTCCATAAGGGTAATTGCAAAGTCATATTCCTATAAGACATGATAATTATATGACGCTAGTATTTTGTCCGCTGGCCTTTCGTTTTGATAATCAAGCCAATTCTTTTGTCAATTGACTCAATTGTTCTGTCAATGACATCTGTGGGAAATTTTTCCATTGTTTCCTTTACTCGTTCTGAGAATGTCTTAAAGTTCTCATACTGTATGTGTTTCTCAATAGCGTCTGAATTAAGCTTAGACTTAACCAGGTTGAAAATGTTCTCAATAGGATTAATATCTGGACTTCGTGGTGGAATGCTAAATTTTCGGGCTCCTACAACATGCATAGCATCGTTGGCCTTCTTGCTATTCTGCGATGGGTCCCCATCCTGCAGAAACAATTTTCCCTTAGAGTGTGAGCACGAAGAAAACACACGTGGAAAATTCTCACGAATAAAGTCGGCAAAACTTTGTCCATTCAACTTCCCGTTGTATTGCTCACAAAGAACAAAGCCCTTTCCATACGCAATTGCTGCTATGAAATACTTTCCCCCCAGTTCCTTCGTGGCTTCCTTTTGCAGTGCACTTATATTTCAGGCCTTCATTTGGTCTCCGCCAGGCCATGGTTTTCGGGGCTCGCGCTTGGTCAGAGGGATTATACTTATGAGTAAAGCTAACCCCATCAAGATAAAAACAAATGTCACGTTTCCAAAAATCTGCACTCAACTTACGCCTAACCTTCCTTGCAAAAGCCATTCTTAACTTCAAATCTTTTCGTGACAGCAGTCCTTTTTTCCTTGCGTGCCTGTACCTCAACCCATCTTCGTGCAATACCCGTCTAACAGTCTCATCAGACACACGGGACCCGATTCCTGCTGATAAGCGCAAGTGCCTACTTGTGAAGTGCCCAACAGAATCTCGTAACACCTCCACTTGTCTTAAAATTGATCGTTTATCTCTTGCGCTAAGTTTAGGAGGACGCCCAGGGTTGTTTTTCCTTTTGTCTACCGTTGTACTACCGATAGGCTTTGCAGCATGTCTGTATATGCTTGCCTTTGAGTATTGCTTATATTTATCTAGAAGTTTTTTTCCTTTTACTCCCAAATCCTGGTAAAGATATCGTAGGTGGAGCGAAACATCAAGTGGTATTTTACTCAATTTTTTGGCCTAAAACGCAGTAAGCAAGTCGTTTTTCAAGATAACGCTTCAGAGCCAACACTATTGCTGCTAATGACGTAAAGCACTGGCCAACAATATTCTTGCAATTGATTAGCCTATTATTTTCACCTTGTTAGAATGGTTTGCAAATCTTACAACAATCAGACAGCTGGTTCGTACACATGTCTTTAAATATACTAGCCTATTGCTCTTCAAAGCCCATCACTTACATATCATGAGCTCACAGGAGCCCAAGCTTATTTTACTTAAGGGCCTTAGCGCCTACGCACATAATGCATTTACATCTTAAAACCCAACTTATATACCCCCCCCCCGGAATTCGACGTCATTAAACTCCTCTCGGAGACTGATTGGAGACTGATTAATATAATTGAGGGTAACATTAATTACCAGTTACAAATGCTCAACTTTTATGGCAATATCTTAAAAGATTGATAAAAATATATGGAGACCACTAAGTAACATTGACCCCCCCCTTCTTCCCCCCCCGGATCACGTAATCACTAATGTTCCTTCACAAATTTGAAGAGCTAGAGTGTCAAGGTACAGTCACAACAGCTGATAGTGACAGTTCTATGTCACATTCTACATGATGTTTATATAATTTGTGCAGCTCTTATAGCTAAGTTTTAGCCAATTTTAAGACTGTCTGAATTTGGATGATATTTGAGCAGAGGTTTTTTATGATTAAAGACGAATATTTTACGGAACAGGACTTATGTTAATCGATAGCTTTTGAATAATGTATATTGACTACAATTTGCTTAGCTTTACGATCGAGCGCCTTTGCAAGTTTTATTCCCTACTTCAGGCTAAGAAATAATAAGAAATGTTATGTACACGACTTACTTTCGCCACTCCCTGTCTTTTCACATCCTTTCTCGGCATTATTTGCAGTAAGATATTCGCAATTTATAGCATGTAAATTTTTGTTATTGTCGCATTTAAAGCATAGTTCTAGAACCGGAAGTGGCAGTTCGTAAAACAATCAGCCGCATTTATTCATGGGGTACCTGTTTTAACGTTAGCACGAAATTCAAATTTTAACGATATTTCTGTGAGTAAAAGGTAAATTAGAAATGGATGATTTTCAATCAAATCAACTTATTAATCCCCGCTGTGGTCGTCGTACATATCTTGTGACTTATTCTCAAGCTGATCTGTGCAAATTTCCTACCCGCCAGAGTTTCGGTCAGATGATTGCGGAACATTTTAACACCGGTCGGGGAAAGGCAAAAGTAACTCACTGGGCCTGTTGTCTTGAGAGTCATGAAGACGGCGGGCTACACTACCATGTATCTTTGAAGCTGACTGCTCCGAAGAAGTGGTTAAAGGTTAAGAACGCCATAACCAAAAAGCATAACGTAACCCTTAATTTCTCGGCCAACCACGACTACTATATTGCTGCGTACAAGTACGTGTGTAAAGCGGATGA